TTTGATGAATCGAATTATGGTCATCAGCCTAATCAGTATCAATCTGATCAAAGTGTAGATCATGATAGGATGCATGAGATGGTGACTGATGCATTTCATGAAACGCATACTGGTAATGCTGTTGAGGAACCTAATGTAGATGCCAAACGATTTTATGATTTGTTAGACAATGCTAATCAGCCAATCTACGAAGGATGTAGAGAAGGCCTGTCTAAATTATCGTTGGCAGCTAGGATGATGTCAATTAAAACAGATCATAACCTGGCTGAGGTTTGCATGGATGATTGGGCTGATCTTCTGAAATAGTATCTACTGGAGGATAACTTGGCAGCGGGAACATACTATGAAATACAAAAGTTGATTTTTAGTCTTGGTCTACCTTCTGAGATGATAGATGTATATGTTGACAATTGTATGATTTTTTGGAAAGATGATGAACAGCTGGAGGAATGTCGATTTTTCCAAAAACCAAGATACAGGCCGCAAACTGGTGGGTGTAAAAGGATACCGTACCAACGTATGTGGTATCTCCCTATAACTGATAGGTTAAAACGGCTTTATCAATCTGAAAGGACAGCTGCATCAATGAGATGGCATGCGGAACATACACAAGTAGATGGAGAAGTTGTTCATCCATCAGATGCAAAGGCATGGAAACACTTCAATATGGTATACCCAGATTTTGCTAAGTTCAAACGGAATGTCTATCTTGGTCTGTGCACTGATGGTTTTAGTCCATTTGGTATGTCTGGTAAACAATATTCATTATGGCCAGTAATCCTAACTCCTTATAACCTTCCTCCAGATTTGTGCATGCAAAGAGAATTTATTTTCCTAAGTATTTTGGTTCCAGGTCCAAATCATCCGATGACGAATGTCTTCACCGAGACGCATAAGAAGCGGAACGGCGAATTCACGGATCCTCGGACGGAGGATATCTACAACGCCGCCTGTGCGGCGATCGAGGAGCGGCAGACGCAACTGAATCAGCAGGCGCGTCCAACGTCTCCTGGAGGTAGCTCGGTCCACTCGACCCCGGCGCTGACAGTGGCGGAGATGGACCAGATTTTGAAGAGGTAATTAATTTCAATTAATACATTTAATTAATGTAATTTTAATTTTAAATTCAATTTTTAACCATAATGTATTTAAATACTTTCAGGTTGCCCCTAAGAAAAAAGGGCGGGTATTGGGGATGGGATCCATCTGTGATACCCCGGCAGCTACGGCGACAGCTCATGTCCGGGTCCCGGATCCGGTTATCCGCCAGTAGATCGACCAGGTGCGTACCCACTACGAGACGAAGATTGACCAACTGTACGGTCTCTTCGAGATCATGGGAGCCGACAACCCGGTGCTCATGGCGCAGTTGGACAGGCTGCGGGCTGATGGGGTTGTCAGATCGTCTGCCGGGTCATCTTCTAGGAGGCAACCACCGGTGCAGACGGACGAGGAGATGTTCCGGTCTCTCGAGCTTGATCCTCCTAGAACCGGAGATCAGGCGCCGGAAGCCTCTAACCAAAGATCCGGGGATCAGGCGGCGGAAACCACTACCCGAAGACCCGGCAAAGAACACGTCGAGGACGATGGGGAGCAGGCCGGTGACGGGATCGACGACATTGATGTAGATTTAGATTTAGAGCTCTAGGTTTTTTTGTAAATACTAAAATTAATTTTAGTTTGAAATTTAATTAAATTTTAAATTGTAAATTAATTTTTTAAAATTTAAATTTTAATTTGAATTAATTTTTTTTTTCAATTATATAAAACGTCGTATAATCGTCGTAATATAATTATTATTATTTTATAAAACCGTCGTATATTCGTCGTAAATAGTACGACGAAGTTACGACCAAAATCTACGATCACAAATACGACGATTATACGTCCGTGTTTTACGACGATTTTACGATGGAATGATCAAATAATTTACGATTATACGTCCGTGATGTACGATGATCTTACGTCGATTTTTAACGACGACTTAACGACGGTCCAGGCGAAGACCAGATTGACACAATTCGATGTAAAATCGTCGTAAACTGTACGACGCATCTACGACGATCTTTTTCCTTGGATGTTACGACGAAACAAAACCGTCGTATATTAAACGATGATTTTACGACGATTTTGAAATCGTCGGTAGTCCGTCGTAATAGCCCTATTACGACGAAATAAAGACCATTTTGGCCGTTGTAAAATGGTGTTTTTCTTGTAGTGAAGACATGATTCCAAAGTCCCCGATCACACAAAACAGTTCTTGTGGTCCTTGACCACATCAAATAGTTTCCTCCTTTGACGATAACCGGACTGACAACATCCTTTGTTGAACTCTCAGTCATGATATCGCTAGAGCTCATTTTGCTTAGAAACAAGAAAAGAAATCAAGAAGTGATGTAGAAGATAAATGCAATATGAACAAGAGAGATATGGAAGAGAATTTGAAGATTTAGAGAATATAAATTGTTGTGGAATAGAGAATAGAGAATCAAAACTCAGGAAATCAAAACCTAAAGCTCTGATACCATGTTAGAATTTCTAAGTATATTTGCGAAATTTAGAGAAGAGAGTTTGAGAAAAAATATTCTCCAAAAGAGTGTATATTATTAATCTCGGTAAAATACTATATAGAGAGACAAATAAGAGACCAGGGTTACAAATATCAAGAGTAAGACAAAGGGTGTTGGGGTCAGTTTCATCCCAACCGGTTTAAACCGCTTCAAGAATAAACTAACCATCGTGAAAGCCGGTTTGGCAAGGGCCGAACCCCCACACAGCACAAGTGGGCCGAGCTGCACCCAACGTTGCAGATGGGCCGAGCCGTGAGGAAGCAAGGAGAAAACCAAGCCGTGAAGAATGACCTCAGATGGGCAGAGCCGCGCACGAGAGAGAATGGGCCGAGCCGTACGCAAGCGGAGATGGGCCGAGCTGTGCAAAAAGATGAATGAACCGAGCTGCTACCTTTCGCAATTGGGCTGAGCCGACACTTCCCAGGTGGGCCGAACTGAAGTCTCGAAGGACGTAAGCCCATAAAAATCCTAGGCGAGGCATTATGGCGGTGGCCGCATGAAGCGATAAGAAAATATTCCGAAAATCTCGCCCGAGATTCTCGGCTAGGCGGTTTAAGGAGTTAGTATAAATAGGAGATCAACGCAATTCATTATGTAAATTTGGCAACCCTAAGCAATAAAGACTAAACACTTTCACAGCAATAAAAACCTTCTTTCGATCTTACTGTTCTTGCGATTACCCTAGAAATTTCGGATCCCTTAAGTTTTCTTTACAAATTTTTGGTTGTGCGAGTTTTGGCTCACACAATTTGACGCCGACTATGGGGACTCGAAACTTTCTTACTCTGCATCGACAAGACTTTAAGATCCGAAGAACATGGCGAGCAACACCCTCGACGATAACAACAACAACAACAACAACAACGACAACGGCGCGGATAAGGACGCTCCAGCAACGGGCACAACGACGGTGACAGCTGAAACTCAAGAGGAGATGCGAAACATGATGGCCGCGTTGATGAAGAAGATCGACGAGCAGGACAAAAGAAACAAGGCAGTTATGGAAAGGCTCAACGCAATGACGGCCGAGCGACGACACCTGACTTGGAGAGCCGGAATCTCCGACCCGATGGATGGAATCCTGAGACGCTTCGATTTCTCAACGCCTGCAGAAGCAACGGGAAGCGGCGCAAGAAACACCTTGGCTCCACCAATGTTTCACCCCCTCGGCGAACAGACTCCCGCGGCGACCCGAGTCAACATGACCGAGCCGCCTCCACTCCGTCGAAACTCAAGGCGACAAGCCGACGAAGAGGAGAATGACGCGATCGACGTGGACGCCCAACAAAACAACGAAACCATAAACTCGCAACAAAACGGCTCGGCTCGGCGAGTAAGCTAAGAAGAGCTCACCTCGGCACTGAATGGCATCCGGACTGATGAAGTCACGAGGGTCGGGGTGACGACCCAATTGAAGAAGAGGAAAACCTCCAATGGATCGAGCAGGCAGAGCGCGAAGACGAGCCGAGGAGAGAAGAGCGGGAGCGACTTCGCCAATCAAAGGGAATGACTCACGCACAAACGCTCGAAATCAAAGAGCGCGAAGACGAGCCGAGATACGCGCCATGAAGTCTCAAGTGCATAACGCGACGAGTGCCGCGCCCGAGATCGATTGAATGCTTGAAGAAACCCAGAGAACACCATTCACGGCGAGTATCACGGAGGCTAGGATCCCCGAGCCCAGGAAGGTGAGAATCTCATTCTACGCAGGAACGACCGATCCGAAGGCACACATCACAGCATTTCGGATAGCAATGGGACGAGCTTTCACAAAGAACGCTGCCAAGGGAGCCGCGCTCAAATGGTTTTCGAGACTGGAACGCAATTATATCGGCAGTTTCCAACAGCTCTCCGCTTTGTTCCTTAAGCAATACTCGATGTTCATGGATAGAGGAACTTCTGATGCCGACCTGTGGACGCTATCCCAAGGAACGAATGAACCGCTTCAGGATTACATGGCGAGGTTCAAGGCGGTCGTATTAAAAGTAGAAGGAATAAGCAATAAGGCTGCACTCGAAGCTCTGAAGCGGTCTTTGTGGTACAAATCCGAATTCCTACGGGAAATGGCACTCAACACGCCACAAAAAATTCAAGATGTCTTGCATCGGTCGTCAGACTTCGTCATAAATGAAGAAGAAATTAAGAATCTAGACGAACAGTACGAAGCAACGAAAGCAGCGATCCGGAGCTCAATTTTGACGCGCCCCTCGAAGAAAGGCAATCCATTAAACGCAGAGCTCGGACGAACCAAGAAGCGGAGGTGCCCACAACTACCATGTAGGCGCTGGACGCGGAAGAGGAGAGCCGCGCAGCAACACTTGGGTAAGAAGACCCACTTACTACGACGAAAAGACGTTCTGCGAGTATCACCAGACCTATGGGCACTCAACGACACAATGCCGAACTCTAGGAGCTAAACTCACGGCTAAGATGGTGGCGGGAGAGCTCCAGAATGCAGTGAATCTCAAAGACCTCGTCCCTAATGAGCCAAAAGAGGGAACCGAGCCGAGCGGCGCGGCAGAACCCGCAAATCCTCCCCGACGGGGCGATAACACCAAGCGCGACAGGAAAGGCGAACCCGAAGAGCGACCCGAGCCGAGACAAAGGATCAACATGATCATAGGTGGTTCTCAATATTACCAAGACACGGTGTCTTCCATCAAGGCTTATCAGCGCCGAGCCGAGCCGAATACAGTGATCTGAATACAGTGATCTCCTTCGCCGAAGAGGAAACGGCTAGGATAGATAGACCGCACAACGATCCACTAGTGATTGAATTGACGATCAGAGACCACGATGTAGCGAGAGTACTCATCGATACTGGGAGCTCGGTGAATGTCATTTTCAGGGAGCCACTCAGAAGGATGGGAATCGATCTCTCCGAGGTGACGGCGATCCCCAAACCTCTAACCGGATTTTCAGGAGAAACAACAATGACTATGGGCACAATTAGGGTCCCTGTGGTAGCCGGAGGAGTCACTAGGATCATCGAATTATGCGTCACCGATCACCCGGCAATCTACAATGTGATCATGGGAACTCCATGGATCAACGCGATGAGGGCGATCCCTTCCACCTATCACCTCTGCCTCAAATTCCCAACTCCAGCAGGCATCAAAACGATTTGGAGAAGCCAGAAGGAGTCGCGAATGTGTTGCTTGGCAGAGCACAAGTTCAGAAACCCCGTCACCGATGCACGAGCAGACGTAGATCGCAAGAAGCTAAAGACCGACCGAGAGCCTGCGAACGAACTCTCGAATTTCTTATAGCAATTATAGATCGCGGAGAGCCGCGAAACACGTGCCGAGCCGGTATGTGACGTGGTGGACTCGGTGTGCATAGACGAGGAGCGTCCAGAACGACGCGTTGAAATCAGAACTAAGCTAGAGGAGCCTCTGAGAAGCGAGCTTCTTTCCCTCTTCAAGGAGAACATCGACACTTTTGCCTGGACAACGGAGGATATGCCAGGTATAAGCATCGACGTGACCTGTCACGAGCTGAACGTGGACCCCACCTTCAAACCAATCAAGCAAAAAAGGAGGAAGCTCGGGCCCGAACGAGCTAAAATAGTTAATGACGAAGTGGAAAGATTGCTCAAAGTAGGATCAATCGCCGAGGCCAAATACCCGGACTGGCTCGCGAATCCGGTGGTTGTGAAGAAGAAGAACGGCAAGTGGCGGGTCTGTGTAGATTTCACTGAACTCAACAAGGAGTGCCCAAAAGACAGTTTCCCACTACGACACATCGACCGGCTCGTCGAGGCCACCGCGGGAAACAAGTTATTAACATTTATTCACGCGTTTTCTGGTTACAACCAAATCCTGATGGATCCCGACGACCGAGAAAAGACGGCGTTCATAACTGATCGCGGGATATACTGCTACAAATTCATGACGTTCGGACTCAAGAACACAAGGGCAACATATGAGCGGCTCGTCAATAAAATGTTCGCAGATCAGCTCGAAAAAACCATGGAGGTATACATCGATGATATGTTGGTCAAATCACTCGAGGAAAAAGACCATGTCGCGCATCTACGAGAATGCTTCGAGCAGTTGAACAAACACAACATGAAATTAAACCCGGCGAAGTGCAGATTTGCGGTTACCTCGGGAGAATTCCTTGGCTACCTGGTGACCCACCGAGGCATTTAAGCGAATCCCAAGCAGATCAAGGCATTAATCGAGATGCCCTCTCCAAGGACGATGCGAGAAGTTCAAAAGCTCACAGGAAGGGTCGCTGCGCTAAACAGGTTCATTTCCCGTTCTACCGATAAGTACCTGCCTTTCTACGACACCTTTCGAGGAAATAAGAAGTTCGAGTGGGACGAGCGATGCAAAACAGCTTTCCAAGAATTAAAGAGTTATCTGGCGAGCCCGCCGATCCTGGCGAAACCAGTTGAAGGAGAGCACCTCTTCCTCTACATCGCTGTATCTGCTACGGCTGTGAGTGGGGTGCTGATAAGAGAAGAGCGATCCAACCCATCTCTTACGTCAGCCAGACACTGACCGACGCCGAGATTCGTTACCCCTAGATCGAGAAGGTCGCCCTAGCCGTTGTAGTATCGGTTCGCAAGCTGCGCCCATAACATTCGATTGTTGTGCTTGCCATCCTCCCGCTATGCTCGATACTGCACAGCCCGAGCCAATCTGGGTGGCTCACCAAATGGGCCATAGAATTGAGCGAGTACGACATCGAGTACCGGAACAGGTCATCTGCGAAATCACAAGTACTCGCAGATTTCCTCATCGAACTTCCGATCGAGGCGACGACCGAGCCGACCCCAGACGAAGTATGGATGCTCCACGTCGACGGCTCGTCGTCTAAACACGGCTCGGGGATAGGAATCCGTCTCACCTCTCCCACCGGGGAAATATTGGAACAGTCTTTCCGCCTCAACTTCCACGCCTCGAACAACAAAGCAGAATACGAAGCACTGATCGCTGACATACGACTAGCGCAGGGATTCGGAGTTCGAAAGATAAGAGCTTTTTGCGATTCACAGCTCGTAGCATGCCAATTCAACGGAGAGTACGAGGCGAAGGATAGACAAATGGGAGCTTACCTTAGAGTGGTCCAAGATTTGGTGCAAAAATTCGACAAGTTCGAGCTCACACGAATACCCCGAGGTGAAAACACCTCGGCAGACGCCTTAGCAGCACTTGCTTCAACTTCGGACCCGGATCTCCGACGAACAATTCCAGTCGAATTCATCGAACGCCCAAGCATCGAAGAGGTAGAAGGAGTTCGGCTTATAAATCCTCCCGAGGAGGAACCAGAGAACGGCGAAGCAATCGCTATGGACGAAGACGCCTCACTAGCCGAGCTGGAGTATGGCTGCGATAAAGAATGGTTCAGAGCAATCCGAGTATATATCGCCGATGGAAAAGCACCATCCGACAAGTGGGAAGCCCGCAAGATAAGAGCTCAGGCTTCGCGATATGTCCTCGTTGTCTTTTCACTCGCTTTTGTTTCCCTTGCCCAAACGAAGAAGCACCTCGGGATGCCATGAGACGTTCTAATTCAAGCCTCGCCTCAAACAGATCAAAGGGAAACGCTTCCTCCTCAGCTTTCACTGCCGCATAATTAGCATCTTCGTTATAAGCAGGACCTTGAGGACGGCTTGTCGAAACCGACGGCTCGTTATCTGGAGAGCGAGCACTTGATGGACTTGAGCGATTCGACGCCTCGTCGCCTTCGGATGAACGATTGGAAGGGATCGGTGAGACAGACGCCTCGGAAGATCCTGTTATACCTCTCACCTCGGCGTCTACATGGCTTGGCTCGTAGTTAAAGAGCGAGTCCAACGAATCGTCGGAATGGTTCGACATGATTTACAGCTTGTACGGGAATTACAATAATACGCGGCCAACTTTCGTCGGAAAATGATCGGGGCGGCGGAGACCTCGGAACTCTAGTCGGAAAATAAATAAACTAGAGAGAAAAATAAGAGAGAAGGGAGAGCTACCTTTTAGTGAAAACGAATGGATCTGAAGATTATGAGAAGGAACGAAGGAGTTCACCTATTTATAGAACAACCAAAGTGTATGAAATCCGCGTGGACCTCGGGATAACGTAAACGTATTCAATGAAGACGCGTGAAGTCTGCGTCGAATGCGTAACCTCCTGGCGTGTCCGTCATACACGCCAACACATAAAGAACTAACAGCTGCTAAACGTTTCCCGTATGGAGCTGTCCAGGTAAACCGAGCCCACAACACAGCTATGGTTATCTGAGGATATCTCATCAAGCTGTGTGGACCGAACCATGCTTTGTTGATACGGCTCGACAATTTCATAAGAATGCCTCGTCGTTATCGTTAAACACGAAACGGCTCGGCAACTTTCTTAGAAAAACGCCTTGTCGTCGTCGTTAAACACGAAACAGCTCGGCAACTTTCTTAGAAAAACGCCTCGTTGTTATCGTTAAACACGAAACGGCTCGGCAACTTTCTTAGAAAAATGCCTCGTCGTTATCGTTAAACACGAAACGGCTCGGCAACTTTCTTAGAAAAACGCCTCGTCATTGTCATTAAACACGAAACGGCTCGGCAATTTTCTAAGAAAAACGCCTCGTCGTCGTCGTTAAACACGAAACGGCTCGGCAACTTTCTTAGAAAAATGCCTCGTCGTCGTCGTTAAACACGAAACGGCTCGGAACTTTCTTAGGAAAATGCCTCGTCGTTATCTTGAAACACGGCTCGGCGTTATAAACATAAACTCCTCGTCATATCTTGAAATACGGCTCGGCATTACTAACAAAAACGCCTCGCCGACGCCTTCGAACATGGCTCGGCGTTACCTACGCCAGAACGCCTCGGCATAACCTATGCCAAAACAGCTCAGTATTGTCCCTCATGTCAGTCACCTCGCCTCCATAACGGCTCAGCAATCTTGTTCCTGATGCGTATCGCCTGTTCTACTCGATGGTTAATTCCACGACTAGGAATGATTAACCTCGTCACTCTCACCTCCAAAACTGACGAGCTGGGGGCTAACTATTGGGGTCGGTTTCATCCCAACGAGTTTAAACCGCTTCAAGAATAAACTAACCATCGGGAAAGCCGGTTTGGCAAGGGTCGAACCCCCACACAGGAGAAGTGGGCCGAGCTGCACCCAACGTTGCAGATGGGCCAAGCCGTGAGGAAGCAAGGAGCAAACCAAGCCGTGAAGAATGACCTCATATGGGCCGAGCCGCACACGAGAGAAAATGGGCTGAGCCGTACGTAAGCGGAGATGGGCTGAGTTGTGCAAAAAGATGAATGGACCGAGCTGCTACCTTTCGCAATTGGGCTGAGCCGACTCTTCCCAGGTGGGCCGAACTAAAGTCTCGAAGGACGAAAGCCCATAAAAACCCTAGGCGAGGCATTATGGCGGTGGCCGCATGAAGCGATAAGGAAATATTCCGAAAATCTCGCCCGAGATTCTCGGCTAGGCGGTTTAAGGAGTTAGTATAAATAGGAGATCAACACAATGAATTATGTAACTTTGGCAACCCTAAGCAATAAAGACTAAACACTTTCACAGCAATAAAAACCTTCTTTCGATCTTACTGTTCTTGCGATTACCCTAGAAATTTCGGATCCCTTAAGTTTTCTTTACAAATTTTTGGTTGTGCGAGTTTTGGCTCACACAAAGGGCATAAAATAAACATGTGAAGAGAGAAGCCTTGTCTCGGCCAGACTGAAAGTGACTTGTCAAAACGGTCATATTGACCACGCGCCAAAGGGGGACCATTGTACAGACATCGGATATTTTATCCAAGACTTAAATTCCTTCGTGGGCTTTGCTTCATGATCCAGGCCTTTACTCATATTAAACCCTAAAATGCTTGCTCAATACGAAGGACGCGAAGCTTGAGTCACCTGCTGTGGGCAAAATGACCTGGAGCCGTGGGCTCGTAACATGAAAGACATAGGGCCTGGCTGTCATTCAGGTCCAAAGGGGGTGCTGCCATGCCAGCCCAGCAAGACTTCGTGGCCGATCTCGTAGAGATATCCGGTTCTCTAAAGGAGATTCGGCCACCATGAAGCACACTGAAACTAGCAGACCGATCCACAAAGGGAACCAGTCCTAGGCTGCATGAAATTCTGACGAGGTTCCTAGTGGACAGTTATACTGTCCGCAGAACGGCATGCCCCCTTATGATCCGGTTAAGGAGTTCCATTCCGGGGACACGACATCAATGGGCAGGATAACCCTCCATTGTGCTGGCCTCATCTGGGTAAACTCCCCGAATGTCGTTACCTATTATTTTCAGGAGAGCCAAAGAGGCGTATGGAAAGGAGAGACAGTCAAGAGGGAGAACTTCTTCTTCTTATATTCTTTTGGTTAATTCGTCTCCTTCGGTTTTCCTTCTTATTTTTCTCCTTTGCCAGGGAGCCTTGTCGTCCTTTTCTCAGCATCTGGTTTGTCTCTCCCATCTCCTCGCCAGGACTTCACTCTGTTGTCTCTTCATCTTTGCCTCTCTGGGAATTTTCTCTTATCCTTGGTGCGGTCATCTCTCCTTGGGGTTCGGCTTCTTTCAAAGATTTTCTTTTTTAGAAAAATCTTTTTTCTTCTCTTCTTTCACCTCATACGGCCTTTGGGGTGTTTCTTTCTGTGATTCCTCTTTTTACCCTTGTTTTTGCCGTGTATCTCACGCGCGTGCAAGGGTGTGTAGCCCTTTTTACTTTGTTTCTCAGCGGTGACGTCTTTCAATCGTCTTTTCTCTGGGCCGATTTGCCACCCTCCTTCCTCTGTGTCTCTGACGCTTCATCTTTCTTGACCAGGTGACATCATCCTCTTTTCCGCTTACTATAAGTGGCAGGGTCTTCGCCACATGGCTACTTGACTCTGCGAACTGCCGCATGTCTTCGCGAATGACCCAGTCTGACTTCTTCCGCATCTTTCTCGCCTTTTGCGGTTTCGAGTTTTGTGCGAGCCTGGGTTCGAGATCCGCACTCTGCTCCGCCTTTTGAATTATGTCTTAGAGTATGACATAATTATTATCATTTTGTGACAAAATTAAAATCATAAGTTTATTTAAAAATAAATAACAAAATAGCTTTAGTTCAGATAAACATCCAAAAATCCAGTTGAATGAATTACTTATTCTATATTATTTTTATTTTTCTCTAAAACTTATATCTGACGAAATGTTGCTGAAAAAATTAAACAATTTGTATATGCTGATTTTGGGAAGTCGAAGATGCTGTTGTAACAAATGTCAAATAACTATTGAGTGAGTTAAATATTTTTAATGCTATTAAAAATAAAAATATGCTAACTTTTTATTGACTAATAATATTGTTTTATACTGAGAACACATAATAGCACTACAGGAAAAATGGGTATTCTTAACGAACGAAAAACGCTATCTAGTTATATGATAGCGGTTTAGAAAGCGCTCTGTCATCCACCGCGATAATAGGTCCGTCACATTACATAGCGGTTTTTTGTATGCTATGGTTACGTCATATACGATAGCGTTATTTTCGCGCTATTTTATATTTAACAATAGCATTTAATTTATGTTATTTTTATGACATTTAATAGCGTTTTAAAATAATTCTTATAGCATTTTTATTATGTTATATATAGGTGCCAATTTTAAAGATTTTATTGGTTTTATTCGATTATTTAAATTTGAATATAAAATTATAAATTGTTAAAAATAAAACATATAATGCAAATACAAATTTTATTAATAATCGAAAGTAGACAACTTCAGATTCACTTCAAAGAAAAACATAATGATACCACATCTCAAAGTTCAACATTATTTCCCAAGTTCACACAAACATAAGCTTTTCACGAGTTCACACAAACATAAGCTTGTCATTAGGCCATGCAACAGTTGTACTTAAAGCATCAGAAATTACTTCTATTTCTGAATTTGGTCTCCACACTTTTGCATCTCCAATCTTTGCTACTTCTACCCATACCTTGCTAGCGTTCGGACCTAATGGGACAAAGTGGATTTTGTCTTCTGGATTGGTTGAACAAACTCTCCCTTCCGCAACGATTTGTCCAGAATTATTGCAATCTAACAACATACACTTCTTCTTCCCACCTGATTTGTTGGTGTCGATGCTGCAACTTACACTCTACAATTCAAACAAATGATACACTCTACTCAGAAATAGTCATCACCAAAAGCATAAAAAAATATATATACTTTTAGAGAATAGTTTTACCCCAGGTGATGATGCTACTGGCGATGGTCTTGTTGGAGGTATACAACTGAGCACTACCTTCTTAATAGGCCATGCGATAAACTCACCAAGTGCATCACCCATCATGAACATTTCAGTTGTAGGTCTCCACAAATAACCGTCTGGTTTGACAACCTTCTCAACCTTCACGATAGCAGCGTTTGGTCCGAGAGGAATATTGTTAGCCCATTAATGATAAAACCCTTATATGTATCAGCTGTATTTCTCGGCCCATAAGCTAACCATCTCAGTTTGCTCGAATGCTCCTCTGAGTTAGCAGGGATCTAAAGAAACAAATTTTTAAATAAATATGAGTTGTATATATGGTCAGTTAGTGAACAGATTTGTAAAATGACAGTGATAATTGTTACAAAGACCTTTTGTTTTACCCATTGTCCGAATCTCTCTGCATGAAATTTCCATAACAGAGTTTCACTTCTGGCACATCTACCATCCATTTCTTGCAATTCTTCCAAATGCATACTTAGACAATAAAAAAACAAGTTAGTTGTATACAGAATTAGTATTTATAGTTATGAATGTTAAGCGAAATTGGAAACTTACTCAACATATGGTGTCATCACTGCCATGTTCATCAATACATAACGGTGGGCAATGTCTCGTTCCTTATCAGTAAGTACCACTTGGGCTGCCTTATGCAGTGGACGGCCTTCAAGTATGCTTTCAGAGGACACCAAATCTTCATTACGCTTTGTGGTTTCAGGAACAGTTAAAGAACTCTGAAGGAACTCCATACAGAATTCAATACATTCGCCAGCCAAATAACCTTCAGCCATACATGCTTCGGGCCTTGCATAGTTCTTTACATATGACTTCAACGTTTTCATGTACCTATATATATAAGCATATAATCTGTTAGTTACATAAACACGCTTCAGAAGAAATTGAAATCAAAGGCAAAGTAAAAGTGGTGAGTACCTTTCAAATGGATACATCCATCTAAAGTGGACAGGTCCACCCAACCGTGCTTCTCTTGCTAGATGTACGGGAAGGTGGAACATTATATCAAACAGAGATGGAGGAAAATACCTCTCCAGTTCGCACATTGATTCAACACACTCAGTCTCCAATGTTATTAGCTTCTCAGGATCAATAACTCGCTGACATAATCTGTTAAAGAAGCTGCACAGTCGAGTCACTGCAATCCTAGGTCCATTTGGTAGCAACCCTCGCAAAGCAACTGGTAGGAGGTTTTGGAGCAGCACGTGATGATCGTGAGACTTCAAGCCACTAATTATGGGAGGATCCACTGAAACACAATTGGCAATATTTGCACAATATCCATCAGGTCCTCGGAATGAACTTAACCTCTTACAAAATCTCCTTTTCTCCTCTTTCGACAGCCAATAAGAAGCTGGAGGTAAGTATGTTCTCTTCCCTCGGTTCTGAATGTGTAAGTTTCCTCGAATCCCCATATCTTCCAAGTCTTTCCGTGCTTTCAAACCATCTTTTGACTTAGGACTTTGCATCAGAATCGACAATATAGCATCACACACGTTCTTCTCCACATGCATAACATCTATGTTGTGACGAACAGGCATGTCCTAAAATAGAAGAGAAATACTTAGATAAAATTATAAAACAAACATTATTATGAAATTTTATTAAAGAATTAGTTCACCATTTACCTTCCAATAAGGTAAATCGAATAGAATGGACCGTTTCTTCCATCTCCAATTGTCATTCTCTTCACCATTTTCATCTTCTGAAATCACATCATCTTCACAGACTCCTTTCCTTTTTCTTTTGCTTTTTTTCTCAAAAGGTTTTCCGAAATCATTTCTCACATCCTTAAGTAACTCAAAAATGTTGACTCCACTTTCAATCCTACTCGCATTCCCTTCTTCCACTGTGTTTTCAAACCATTTCTTTTTTCTTCTGTAAGGATGCCCAGGTCTAAGCCTTCTTCGGTTGCCCAAATAAACATGCTTTCTACTAAATTTCAACCACCTAAAGGGTGTATCCTTTCCACACACGATACACGCTTGTTTCCCTTTCACTTTACAACCAGCTAAGCTTCCTAATGCAGGATAATCGGTGATACTCCACAATAACATTGCTTTAAGTTGAAAATTCTCCTTCATAAATGAATCGTAAACCACAATACCTTCATTCCACAAGTCCTTCAGATCATCTATCAGTGGAGCTAGGTAGACGTCAATGTTGTTGGAAGGTGATGTTGGTCCTGGGATCAAAAGACTCAGTATTACATTATCTGCCTTCATACACAACGTTGGATGCATGTTGTAGTTGACTAATAAAACCGGCCATGTGGTGTACTTGCTGTTCTGAATGGAGAATGGATTCATCCCATCCGTAGATATACCCAAGCGTAGGTTTCTGGGTTCAGCTGCAAATTGTGGCCATTTTTCATTTACAGTTGCCCAAGTAATTGAGTCTGCCGGATGTCTCATTGTACCATCTGAACTTCTGTTGTTGAAATGCCAACGAACGTCTTCAGCCTTCCTTTTGGATCTAAAGAGTCGTCTCAATCTGTCTTTGATAGGAAAATATCTGAGTACCTTGGCTGGAATCCCTTTCTTTTCCTCGCCAGTACGCTTATCCCGAGCCCATCTTGATACACTACACCTTGGACAGCTTTGCATATCCTCGTATTGCTTCCGGTATAGAACACAATCGTTCTTGCATGCATGAATCATATCATATCCGAAACCAAATATTTTTAGGAACTTCTTTACCTCATCTGTTGATCTCGGTAGAACATTATCTGTAGGAAGCATATCATGAATCATCGTCAGAAGCTGATCAAAAAATTTTTCTGACATTCCACTCTTCACTTTGATGCGATAAAGCCCCATAATTGCAGACACCTTAGTGTAGTTGAGACAGCTAGAGTATAGTGGAGTTTCAGCATCTTCTAGCTTCTTCATAAAGTCAACCTCTTCTTGACTATCAACATCATCTGTCTCATCTTCAATGTGGCTCGTCGGATGTGAATCAGCATCAAAGAAAGCTGTCCTAATCAAGTGATAAGTTTCTAACTCAGAGTTCGGAGCGTCAGTTGGCTTATCAGTCCTAATATCCCCATGGTTACTCCAACATGAATTCCTCTTGTATTTCTGATCCATACCCCTAATCACTAGATGCTCTAACACTTTATCTATCTCCTGATGGCACAAATTTCGGCAATCTATACAAGGACATAACATCTCAGTAGGATTCCCTAATCTATTTGCTGAATCAAACACAAACGAAGTTGCCCCCGACACAAACTCATTGCTAGCCCTTCAAGTGAAAAAAATAAATCAAATGGTTAATCACATTTTGAAATACTTGTCTTTTGAATTATATACTTAGAATTTGAAAAATAAACAATTTCATACCTTGGAAGCCAAACCCAAGATTTTTCCATCTGAAAAAGCCTAAACTTGTGCACAGCTCCACGACCAAGTACAACATAATAAAAACAAACTTAAAATCAAACTGATGTTCATAAACTGATGTTCATAAGCAATGAAATACACAAACGCAATGGAAACTCCAAAATAAAGAATACAAACAATTCCTCACCAGACAAATTAGGCTCGGGTCCTTTGATTAACTCTGCCCAAATCGAAAAATTATACGCAAATTAGAAAACTAAACCCAGGAGAAAAGTAGATCGAAAACTAAACCCTGAAGAAAAGTAGATCGAAAACCATGCATGTATACCTGAAGTTGAAGAGATTGCTGGAATCGAGAAGAATCTCTGCGAGAAGAACAGCAACAAAAACGAATTGATTAAAGGAAATTGTAAAACGATTTCAACAGCAACAAAGACGACACTAGGACTATCAATTACCTTAGGTAATGAGAAATCGAGAAGAATCTCTGTGTGACCCAGAAGAACCGTGAAATTGGAGAAATCGACAAGAATCTATTCGTGAAATTGGAGAGTGAGAATTGAAAGTGAGGTGTGCGGGAATGAGTCGAGAGAGAGTGAAGAGGAAAGTTAGAAAAAATTTAGTTAGGTTTTTCTAATATTTCATTTTTTAAATCTACGCGGGACTTAAAAAAATTTCCCGGCTCACCTAGTTTAATAGCGTTTTATTGAATCTTATGCTATCAATTATTGACCGCGAAAACATAAAAAATTTCCCTCTAACTTTTTTTTGTATCCCCGACTAATTTATAGCGTTTCTAAGTAACCAACCGCTATCTTTATTTTAGCATATGCTCTACCATAGCATAAACATAAAAAACGCTATCTTCATCTGCTATAAATAAGCCATATTCTTGTAGTGTAGAATAGAAAAAATGATTACAAAATACAAAAGAAATAGAAAAAGTTAATGAGTGGGGTTTAGGGTATAAAGGTATAGGGTTTGAACTATATTTTCATATTTTTATTACAATAGAAATTATTAACTTCTTGGATTCAAGAGTGTTTGTTTTAGAGTTCAGAGATTTACACTTGTAAGATATTTTTGTTATTTCTCAGGTTATAAAAAAACTATACCACAAATTATTGTTTCATAATAAGAGCATAAAATGGAATAGAAAAAACTAGTCCAATATATAATAAGAAGAAAAATTTAGTTAATTTTTTATTTATAGTTTATGGTATATAATTTGGGATTTAAGGTTTAATGGTATAAAGTATAGGGTATAGGGTATAGGGTATATATATAAATTGGAAATAGTTGAAGAAAAAATTCATTTCATCTTCTCCTTAACCCTTTCCTCTTCTCCGTAATCCATAATTTGAATCATTGATCTATATTTTTTTTCTTCTTCTTCCTCGATTCATCTTCTCGAAATCTGAGAAGCAGAGATTGCATCAATAGTGGCCCTCTGCTTCAGCAATTCTCTATGAGAAAAAACCCCTTTTTCTCTTCCACACCCATCCTTGATTTCCTTAGATAGGTTTCGTTGAATCGCCAACGGAACAGAAGTAAGCCATATTGCTTTGATTTTTTTTTGCTTGTTTCTGGGTAATTTCTCTTGTATTCAATTTGGGTTTCTTAAATCTTTATTCTGGGATTTGAATTTTAAGGAGTGGATGGGTCGATTTGTGTGTGCGTTACTTTTTTTCTTCTATGGATTAGCTGATTATTGGGTTTAATTTTGTGTCCTGGAGTTCACGGGCTTTGAAGACGATACTTTTATTATTTGCTCACTAATTATTTTTCCACGTAACGGTTGAAAGATTTCACGAAGATCCGTGTTTCAGGAGTGTCGTAAAACCATGTTTATTGCAGATTTCTTAAGTGGATTTCTTAGCAATAATTGAATCTAAAATAAATAAAAATATGAACGATCCTTATTTAAGAAACATAAAGATCGGTTCTTATGGTAATGTGGCACGCATTGGTTGGTTAGGGGAGAAATTCTCTCTCCTCTTCTCCTTTACTCGTCCATGTATCTCTGATTCATCTCTTTAGAAAAAGCTTATTTCTCTCTCTTCTCCTTCTTTAATAATAAAAAATGCTTAAGAAACCATATGAGTTTCAGCGATAAATATGCTTTAAAAGCCCAGCCAAATATGTTCTCTGCTGTTGGGGAGCCTGATCTCTGAAACCCCTTTCCCCAATTTTCCCTTCCTCACACCTTTACTTTGACTACATCGACGATGAAGACGACTGTCTTCTCACACTTCTGTTAGCTTTGGTCTGATTTTGAATTAGATAGTAAAGTTTGTATATATATGCGACGAAAAGAGTAAAGAGTGTGTTTTTGACTTGTTAAACACAGCTAGCTTTGGATCCTAGAATCGTAGAAGAAGATTGCAGTCAAGCGTTTCACAAGAATGGGTGGCTTGATGCACGACAATTCCAGGTACCACTTATATCTTTTGAATTTCTACTTTGTTTCATCCTCTTGTATATATATTCTTAATTTTGGGAATGTGTTCTTCCTCGTGCAGGAGGAAGCTAAGTCGGTTAGCCAACTGCAGAATGAGGGAATGGCCTAGTTCCAGTTCTTCACCTTTCGATTTTGCTTAGTATCAACCTGAGTAGATGATTCTTGGTGAAAACAGAAAAACAAACTGGTTTGATTACATGTGAACCTTTGACAGGTTCAGAAGTTTGAGCCAAACAACCCTAAGGACAAAGAAGATAATGCTTCAAATTCTCCACTAAATGTAGTAGTTCTTTTCGATTTGAAAGATATTGTTTCAGTCTCTTAATTTTGATAGAATTATACAACTGTTTAAAGCCAGGAATGTACTCACCACAAGATCTATATCAATGGCTAACGAGATTACAGAGGAAGATGACCAACTGGGTGACCAGATTCGTGAGCTAAATGTCTCCTTTTTTGTTACATATCGGTGATATGTTGGCGGGTAAGTCACATTTAAATCCCATTCTAGATTTTGGTTTCTATGCCTACGTTATAGTTATTTTTTGGCTATTGATGTGAGAAACATTTTCAATTAAAGTTCGTAGCTTTATTGATTTGATCCTTTATAGGTAAATACAAGATCTTGAAAAAAAAGTGGAACCAGAAGACGATATATGCCGGAACAACTGGGGAAGCTCTTCCTCTTATTCTTCAAAGTTGTGTGATAAGATTTCTTTAGACGAAATCAGACCTTGCAAGTTTCACATCACAGCAGAAGTGGGAAGATGCTGCAATCTTGGATTACGAAATGTGTATTGAGCCAAATTTGCAAGTTTTAGACCAGATGAAAGCTTCTTCGAGAAAAGACAACAACAAGTTTGAGATTTCCTGCAAGGGATAAAGGTCAAGCTTGAGATCCGAGGACGATGCTGAGCAACCCATCCTTTATTTACAAGTTTATATACAAAACCTTACAAAAGCTATGTAAACTTATTTTTTAATTATGTATGTTTACTTTGTAATACTGATCTTTTGTATCATGGCTTCATTTATGAAAATATAGTTTTTTTTTAATATGCTAGTTTATCATTAGTTAAGTAGTAGTTAATTAGGACGAAAAATAGTTGCAAATTAAGATCGATAGTCAATGTTCTTTATGTCATTACTTGTGACGATTTGCAAATAAAGTATTGTCGAAATAAATGACGTAATTGATATTATGTAAGTATAACGAATAAGCAACGATTCCGTAGTCATTATTTGTGACGATTTAGAACTAAAATTTCGTCATGAGTGATAGATTTGGGACATTATAACAGTAATAAAATATGATGGTTTGAAACGTTTTTTTTATTCTTTAATTGATACAGTTTTGTTATTTTAATTTCTCGTCACCGTTGATGACGAAGTAGTTACTAGATATATTAGTCACAACAAATGTGACATTTTTATTATAGAAAAAAAATTTGACGATTGTATTATGACTGTCCAAAAAACGTCATAACTCCGTCACAATAATTTTATTATTACGAAAGTGTGCTTATTGTAACGAATTTATTGTTATAATATAGTTATTTTCTTGTAGTGCAGCTACTCTGTTTCCTCCTCTGTTGATCCATTCGAATCGCATGTCTTCGAAACGTCGTTGCCAAAATCGAACTTCACAATCCAGTTTTAAAGGCCAAAGATTAATTTTCTTCCTCTGACGAGTTCCATGACTGTATGATTATCACCTTCAAAGATTAATTTCATGAATCCTCTACTCCAACAATGTTGCATTGCTATAATTGAAGCCTGAAATTCACTTTCTATTGCTCTGTTGACCTTGTTTCCTTGAGCTTGTCCTGAACCTCGATATATCCCATTTGCATCTCTCAGGATCCAACCTGCTTTTGAAAATGAATTGTTATTCAGTAAATAACCATCATAGTTGCATTTGACATAACCAGGCGATGATTTTTTCCAATGCTGTAGTCCTTGTTCCTGATGTCTTCTTCCACTCTGAGGGCTCATCTGCATGGTATTTTGACACTCAACATTACTCCATTCAACTGAATCCTGCTTAGCAAGTCTCAGTGTTTGTCGCCAAGGAATGTTTTGTTGTTGGAACAACAATGTGTTTCTGCTCTTCCATATTCTCCAAAGAGTCCAGAGAGGCAGGTGTTTGTGGAGAGAAAGTGTGGAATCGGTATTGTAGGAAATGCAAATGTCATCAAAGCTTAAAGCAGGATCAGCAAGTAGTCCATCTGATATTCGTGAACCTCTCCATATGATTGTTGATAACTTTATTTTTAAATTTATGTATTAGATATTTTCACAGGTGATCTCATTTCGTTTGCTATTTTTTTTTATAGATAATAAAATATTTTATTATATAAAGGAGAATATATAATAATCAAGCAAGGCCCATGTTAGGTTAATGTATAAAATGATTATTATTACATTAATATTTATGTAGAATAGTCTTTTTTTATTAGAGTCCCATTACTTTGTGTTTAAACACATTGTAATTGTTGATAATTTTATTTTTAAATTTATGTATCATATTTTCATGGGTGATCTTATTTTATTATTTTATTTATTTATTTTTTGTTTTTTCTTTTACATATTATGAAAATTAAATGATAAACCTGCATATATCTGGGTACTTATCTAGACCAGAAATATTATATTAATTCATAAAGTGGTTATTGTTATATTAGTATAATTATGTTAATATAGTTATACTTTAATTATTGTATTTAATTATTTTGTGTGTAAATAGTTTATAATTTTTAATAATTTTTTTTTAAAACCTATGTATTACAGCGATGTTATATATTTTTTTTTCTTTTTACTTTTCACGGGTGATAAAATATGAAATTATAAACTCTCATATATGCAGGTATTTATCTAATTAAACTATAAACCTATATATATATATATAAATACTTATCTAGTATATATATCTATCTATAGTAATTATTGTTGTGTTGATAAAAAAATATAAATTAAAATATAATATTCAAAAGATCATTTTACAAATAAAAAAATTTAACTCCAAAATGGTGTAGAATGTGGGTTTACTCCAACATATATAGAAAAAAATCATTTTTATTCCATTCTAAAGTGAAAAATGGAATAGGATTAGAAAAAAATTATTACAAAATAGCAGTTAAAGTGAAATATAGAGTAGAGTTGGAGATACCGTAAAATGGCTTTAACACTACAACAATCTTTATTTTGTATGAAAATGATATTTGATTCAGTAGAAGAAATAAACTAATGCTAAACATTAACTTTAATTAAAAAAATTACATTTTAAAATAAACATGAATTTTTATGTTATTTAACAAAATAAATTAATCTAATAAAATTTCTTTTATAGGTTAATGATCTTCAATATATATATATAAGCAGTAAAATTAAAAATAATTTTTGTTAACAAATACTCTCTGAAAATGATTTTTAACAAAAGCTAATCAGATAATAAAAACCTTAATGATCTTCTAAAGATCTCTACCAATCAAGCTAGAGTGGCTGATTGATTGTGATAGTACACAATACCAGGTTATGAAGAAAACAACGGAAGACACTTTCATATCATGGCATAAATGATTACACTTTTTATGTGGAATAATCGATTAATTTGCCCATACCAAGTTGGTATGTAGTCTACACAACACATCACGTACTACTGTAAAAGGGCAACAATAGCAAAATTTTCCATGTACAAGTATTTATAATTGCAAATATTTTCTTACAAAAAACTAACAAAACTTTAAATTATTGACTGTTTGTGCAAAGTTCCCTTGACTTTTTTTTATCATGTTACACAATCTTAGCCAAAAACCTTTTCTCCTTTTATATACTAAATGAATACTTGCATATATAGACAAATTTTTTAATTATATAAACTTAATACCATGCAAAAATCTATTGATTATCCCTATTATACATAATTAAAAATAGAGAATTATCAAACAATTGCGATCTTGTGCTTCACCTCTCTCAACTCCTATGAAAACTTCCTAGCTCTCTCTTAATCACAATCATATAGTGTTCATTATTCACATATTTAGAAATCATCGTTGCAACATTAGGATATTCAATAATTTCTAAATTCACTTTGTAAACTCTTTTGCTATTTTGGATTTGTATTTTTCTCAAAAATCTAATTAGACAATAACAATTGCCAATGAAATCACCATAACACAACTCTAATTCATTCTCTCTAACACAACACAACATACACACACAATACACACTCAAATAGACTCTTTAAAAGATAACGTTTTACAAAACTCAACTCTTCCTCTGTTCCACTTAATTATCTTCCTATATGCTTAGTGCCAAGATTTAAAAATCTTTATTTTTCGAACATTATATTAGCAGGTCATAAGCATTTAGATGGAAAATGAGCAATACAAAAACAAACCAATACAAAATCAGGTGATCATTTGTAAAAAAGTCATGAAAAGCATATAGACTCTCATTGGCGGTCTCCGTGAGGGCAATTGTATAGTGGCTCTTTAGCCTTCGCATGGATCAATTTTTCATGTCCACTGAAATAAGGAAGTCGAGAGCTTTTATAGGTCGTCTCTAATTCTCTATTGAACTAGTAATTGACATTGTATTTTGTAGTCACTTTAATCTGCTCCGACCTGCTTTGCTTCATATTTTCCTTACTTCCACAATCAGTACGATTCTCAACTCTTCTTCTTTGTGGTGGTGATGGTCCATTCCTTCTCCGCTACGTCTTGGCCTCCGATTCTGATTTCCTGACATTTGTTCTCTTTTTTCTTGTTTATGTGCTTCTTCTTCTTCTTCCTCTCTCTCTCTCTCTCTCTCTCTCTCTCTCTCTCTCTCTCTCTCTCTCTCTCTCTCTCTCTCTCTCTCTCTCTCTCTCTCTCTCTCTCTCTCTCTCTCTCTAATTTCTCGCAATGTATAACATCAAAAAATTATGTGTTGATCTCTTGAATTTTTGCAAATATATTGAATGATGTTTTTGGATATTTTCGTGGATAATCTGTTATATAAAGAAAGCTATAAACGATAAACTGTTTTACGCGGTAAATAGTATTTTTTTTTCTGTGCTGTGGCAAATGAATCTGTGATTTGGTATTTTTTTGCTCTTTTTGGGTGCTCAAATTTGGGTGAAGAATGTTATTTCTTAAGTGTAATGCAAGAATTCTCTCTCTCTCTCTCTCTCTCTCTCTCTCTCTCTCTCTCTCTCTCTCTCTCTCTCTCTCTCTCTCTCTCTCTCCTTCCTCCCCACGGCTTCTCATCTCTTCTCTCTTCTTCTCACGACTCCTTCTCTTCTTTTTTTTCTTTCTCTCCCTCTCTCTTGGCCTCTTACAAACGGCTGCTCCTTTTATTTTCTCTTCTTTTTTTTTTTTTTGGTTTAGTAATCTAACTTAGATAACTTGTATATAAGGAAATACATGTGTTGTAAATATTTTCTGTATTTATAAGGATTAATGAACAAAAAACTCTGAGTTGTAAGATGCCAGAAGTGATGTAACTTTATAATAAAACCAAAGACAATATAATTTCTAATACTCATTACTTGCAATATGGCAATAGGAAAGTTTGTTTGATTTAGAGTCCTTAAAAATCAATTAATAGGTTAAACATTAGTAACAAGCATTTGGCTCAACTGGCAGTAGAAATGTCAATAATCTGAAAAAATTAAGCTAAGCTTCAGCTAGAGAATAATGTTTATGCTGATGTAAAGCTCTTTAAGATATTTCACGAAACAACCAAAAACCTTAAAAAAAACTAAATAAATAGATTTCTGATACCGAAAATATACCCAAAAACTTATAATTTATTTGATATTTTTATATATAATTGTTAATCGGTTAATTCAGGTATCCGATCAGATTCCAAGTATCATCTGATAACTGAAACCAAACTGAACTGGTTATTTGGATTGTTTCCAGTGTGAGTTTTTGGTTTTCTGTTTATATGTCCACGACTACTATTACTTTTTCCGAGCGTGAGAATTTGAGAATATTTTGGCAAAAAATCTAGAAAACATATAGACTATCAAATTCATGACTATAATTTTTTTTTCTGATTAGTCTTAATTTCAACAGTTTTTTTTTTGTTATCTTGCCTAAATTCTCTATTTTGTATGACACAAGACGTTTAATAAACCTGTCACCCGTGGATAATCCTCGTCCTTCCTCTCTAACTTGTAAGTCGTTGGGTCAAAACTAGTACATTTAGTATCATGGATAAAATAAGCCATTTCATTCTACACAACTATGTGGTAGTTCTAGTCTATGATGGATTAAAAATACTCATGTGGTTAGGTCGAACACCTTTAGGTAGTCAGCATAATCTTCTCTTGTGATGCCTCAAAACACATAAATTTTGTTTTTGATGACTAATATATATGGATTTTCTGTTTATTTTCGCATAATCATTAGGTCTCATGGAAGGATCCAAAAATCAACAAATCCGTGGGAGATTGAAGTGGTTGTAAGCACTATTCCTCCGCAGGAAAGAAGGTTTATCTCATTGTTTAACAACTTTCTTCACCAGAATATACCAGTGCGTTTCGTGGATATTTTGATCTGTCCTTACTCCTAAGCCTGAAGATTCCACTTGCATTGATTTAGTCACAAAGATTCTTAGAGCATGATTATCAGAGAAACCCTCATGAGTTTCTATTTGAGTAGTTTATTATTAAAGTTGAGAGTAGAAACTCAACAAAAAACTTTAGTTTTTTTTTATGTGCATTGGAGAAACTCAACAACAAGCACCACACAATATCTAAACCACATCAATGCATTTTCAATACAACTAGAACATATATGATTTGCAAAACCATCGAACCATATCAAACTCATTTCAAACTGATATCAATGAAGCTCAAGCAATAATCAAGCTCACATCAAACCATCAAACCATCAAACCATCGAAGACATACGCTCAAACAATAATAAAGCTCAAATGTAAACACAACCATCGAACCAAATCAAAACATCTCAAGCAATAATCAAGCAATAATAATCAAATACATATCATTTACACAACCATCGACCCATATCAAACTCAAATCACAACACCTAAAACCAAATCATCTCAAGGAATCATCCATTACAAACATCTATATCCAATTCATATGCAAGCAAGAATAAAATCCAACCACATCAAAAAACCCAAATCAAAACATTACTAACCTATACCCAAATCGATTTACAGGTGAGAAACATCACTACTAAAACAAAATCATTTAGATTAGTTTCTACTTAACTTTTTTTGCTCGATCCATTGCAGCTTTTGATCGAGTGGTAATGCGATTTCAGGAGACCTTGTGGAAGAAAAGACGCCGGCGATGACGCAATTTCAGGCGGAGATTGGAAGATAAGACGCCTGCGGTCACTCGATTTCTCTGCCGGATGACGATCGTCGGCGCTGATACATGTTCTCGGAGAAGAAAATTGCCTCCAGAGAACTCGAGGCTTTTTTTCCACCGAAAAGAAGAAATGACCGAACAAAAAAAAATTTCCAACTCAGTTTTTTTTCTTTCAATTCCCACCCAATTAAATCGTGACACATAACCAAAAAAATCGATCCTTCCAATCCCTAAATTAGGATCGATCCTACTCCTCAAACCAACTTTTTGGATTAAAAAAGCCAAAAAAATGCTAGAAATCCACCTAGAAACTATTGATAAACATGTTCTTAAACATTTAATTTGCAATGACGTGGCTTAAAAGAAGAACCTAACCACACATATTTTGACAACGTCAACATTCGTTTTTCTTGCATCGTTGATATTAAAAAACTGTTTTGCATATTCCTTAGAAAAGAAATGAATCGATGAATAGAGTATGCTGGTAACTAATTTCATTTATATGATTTCGCGTTTTTAGGGATAATTCAATAAACATAATCAATTATAAGGTTCAGTTTACATCCAAAAATAGATAAGTTGAAATAAAATATGTAACTTTTTTTAATCAAAAAGCAATATATTTTTTGAATTATCTCATTATCTTATTCTTTCTTTGAACTTATATTTTATTGCAGATATTTCATATAATATTTTCGAATGATCTATTTTGAATGGTAACTCAAAACAATAAATATCTTGAGAATGAAATAACTAAACGTTTTTTTTTCTTTTTCAGAATTAATTTTATTTTTATCAGTATATATAAATTCTTCTTATCAAACTCCAATTCCCTCCTAGGATACTTTTCTCCATCGTCCCTTTTTTTGCCATGTTTGACTCTTTAATATGTCACAATTAAATTATGCTTTTCCAGTTAAAAACAGAGACAAACAAGGAAAAAGACAAACGCCGCCAGGGTGGAGCCACGTAAACAAATTAAAAGAAAAAAAATATATCCGAAACCCGGACAACTCACAAAAAAACAAACCCGAGCCCGGATCCAGATTTTCTCGGTTATCACAGCTGGATACAGCCTGTCACCAACGGAGAGTCTCTCTTCCTTCTTCTCTCTCTATCTTTTTTTTCTCCTTCCCTATCTCTCCTTTCCTTCTTCTTCCTCCTTCTCTGTGTTTATGCCTCATTCCTTCGTCTCTCTCTCCGATTCTTAGGGTTTTCTCCGATCTCCTTTCTCCCGCCGCCGCTCAGATCTTCCCCGTTCAAAACTCTTTGGATCCAGATTCTCCTCCTTGTAAGCTCTCTCTATTTTCGCTTTTACGAATTTTTTTGGTTTGATGAAATTATGGATTCGTTTCGCGTTTTTTGAATTGCTCTCGTTATTTCGTTGTTTTCTCTGCCTCGGATCTGGTACTATTTGATATTTCCGTGTTTGCATTATCCGCGTATAATTGAATTATTTTTTTTTTGCCCGATTCGTTTATCGTATTGACTTTGATGATTCTGTGTAAATAGAGAATGTCTTTTTTGGGACGAGAAGATTTATGGAAACCTTGTTGACTTGGCTTTATATTTTCAGTTTTTGTGATCGATTTGTCAATACGTTACTGGAATCGTCTTTATTTCTACAAACTTGGTTGTCTTTTTGTCGAGATTCAAGGTTTCATAGTTTTCAGATTGTTTCATGAATGTTTATCTGCGAATTATCAACAAGCAGAGATTGTATTGTAAAGGAATTCATGTGATGTATTGTCTTGTTTTCAGATCTTGGATACATGTTTTGGCAACTTCTGATTCATTCATTCATTCTTTTTGTTCAGTTTATGTAGGTAACACGCATATCAAGTGCTAGAGTCAAGATCACAAAAGTTGCATCGGGTGATCTGAGCTGCTCTTAAGTTAGTTGTGTTTGCTGAGATTCAAGTGGTTGTGTTCTTCCTTAGCGTTGTATGGTTTTGAGTTGAAAAGGTCAAATCTTCTCTTTGTTTCCATCGATGAGTAGTCACTAATCTTGAAAAATTGTTTTGGAGAGAAGGCACGTTAACTGTTGGCTACTGCTAGAGAACTTTCTGCATCCATGCTGGTAGAGAGCATGCGTGGATACTGTGTTTTGGGTGATGCCCCTGACAAAATTAGTTCCCGATGCATTCGGCGTGGTGACGATATGTCTAGTCGCTCTGCTTATTGTTCTAGGTTTCCTTTGCATCGCTTACTCCTTCTATTTCCAGTCTCACGTTCGTAAGCAAGGTTATATCCAGCTCGGTTACTTTAGCGGTCCCTGGATTATCCGAATCACGTTCATTCTCTTTGCTATCTGGTGGTCTGTTGGTGAGATTTTTCGATTGAGTTTGTTGAGGCGTCACAGGAGGATATTGAGCGGGTTGGATCTGCGATGGCAAGAAAACGTCTGCAAGTGGTACATCGTCTCCAATCTAGGATTCGCAGAGCCTTGCCTGTTTCTGACACTGATGTTTCTCTTGCGTGCTCCTTTGAAGATGGAGTCAGGTGCTCTGAGCGGAAAATGGAACAGGAACACGGCGGGTTATATTATTCTTTATTGTCTCCCCATGCTTGCTCTTCAACTTGCGGTCGTCTTATCCGAGTCACGCCTAAACGGTGGTAGTGGCTCGTTTGTAAAGCTGCCACACGACTTCACAAGAACCTATTCCCGAGTTATTATTGATCAGGACCAGGTCGCCTTGTGCACATACCCTCTACTGAGTACCATCTTTCTCGGTGTGTTTGCAGCGGTTTTAACAGCTTACTTGTTCTGGCTTGGAAGGCAGATACTGAAACTGGTGATTAATAAGCGTCTGCAGAAGAGAGTATACACTTTGATATTCTCGGTCTCGAGTTTCCTTCCATTGAGGATTGTTATGCTCTGTTTATCGGTACTCACAAAGGCAGAGAAGATTATATTCGAAGCCATTTCTTTCCTCGCCTTCTTGTCCCTCTTCTGCTTCTCCGTGGTTTCCATTTGCTTGCTTGTCTACTTCCCGGTTTCAGATTCCATGGCCCTGAGAGGTCTAAGGGACATGGAAGAAGAAGATGATAGGACTGTGACCGAAGAACGCAGCGGTGCTCTGTTGCTTGCACCACAGAACGAGGATAGTTTGAGCTTAAGAGGTCGGAGAGACTCGAGATCTTCTTCACAGGAGAGGTATGTGGAACTCAGCCTATTTCTTGAAGCTGAGAACTAAAATCGTGGCAAAGGCTGTTTCTTTGGCTTTTGTGGCAATGTATGTACAGATTCCTGGTGAAACAAGCAGAGAGAGAGAGAGAGAGAGAGAGAGAGAGAGAGAGAGAGAGAGAGAGGGATTTAAGACTAAAATATTTGAGAATATGTTGCGCAAAAAAAGGGGGGCATAATTCAGTTTTGTGGCAAAGACACTTTGACTGTAAAAGAGGGTTTTGGGGGATTTTACTCTTGTGAGGGTTTGTTGTTTGAAATGTTTTCTGCTTGATGGATCATATTTTTGTACCTTTATTATGTGATCAATTTTGATTTAGAAAAAAAAAAATCAAAACTAATCAGCCTTTACCCTCTCTTCAACTTATGAGCAATTTTTGCCATACAGATTCGACAGCACCTGTATATTTATTCATGCGAAAATTTTGATAAGCACTATTGTTTCAATCATTTGTGTCTTGTGATTTGCATAAGCATATAAATGAAAGGGTTGACTTCTATACACCCCCTCAACTCTACAATCTCTATTTTGTGGTAATAAACGTTGTATCCATACAACAAAATCTAATCGATGTCAAACACAAGAAAAACTCGTAATGTGAAATGGCAAACCAACTACAAAGCTTGACTGGGTTGTGTGAGGGAAATCAGATCCGGCCCTTGAGAAGAAGAACCAACCTGAAAAGCATGAGATGAAACAGAGACAAAAACAAAGTGAGACAAACTGAAATCAAAGATCAAAATAAAAGACCAAAATGAGATTAAATGAGACCTCCATTGTTTCGTGTGACTTCTTCATCTTCTTCTTCGGATGTATTTTACAGCCAGCTGCATTGTGTCCAGCTGCACCACATTTTGAGCAGTGGATGGTGTGTCCAGCCCTTCCAAGTACTTCTTTCTGCTTCTTTTTTGGTGATTCATGTTTGCCTTTAATCCTTGGGAACTTGGTTTGCTTCTTTTTCTTTCTCCCAGGCAGTATAGGTTATGGAGGTGAAGTTATTAATGAAAAATTACCTTTCATCCAGAAGCGGTGTCCTCTTACTGTATTGATGGATGCGTTGTAAGTCTTTTGCCACTTAAGAGTGAAGAAGCACTCGGATACGTAATCTTCTACATCTATACATGCATCTATCATCGCACCACAAGCATGTTGACATGGTATCCCAGTGATTTACCACTTCCCACATGAACAAGTCCTCTTTATAGTGTTCACATTGTAAGAATTCCCAAAAAGTTCAACATCAAACCATCCATAAGAAGCAGGAGTTGTTCTACACTTCTTAGCATCCTCTTTCTCTTCTGCAAACATCTCTACAACATATTTTGTAAACCTCTCCTGTCGCCTGCTGGATTTGTTCTTTCTCTATGAGGTTCTCAGCATTGCTTGTTTCGGAATTGTCTCCAACATTGGTATTATTGCCTTAGATCTTGCTTTGGTAATAGTTGAGTTAAAAAAGACCCGGTTGCATTGTTGTCTACTTATTCACAGAAACTTCCGAGCCTATAAAAAGCGAGAGACCAAGTCTTTGGTTCCTTCTTCATCACATCATCGTACAAGGCCATGCTATAGTCTTGCGACTTTTGCTTATTCTCCTCAAATTCTGTAGGGTTATAGCTCCAAGCTAAGTTCCAAACCATAGGCTTAAGAAAATTGTTATTTCTATGCTTCTTCTTCAAATTCTCAACAATATGTTTCACACACATTCTACGTTCTGCTTCTAGCAATTCAGCTTTCACTACTTCGATTAGTCCCTGAAAGTACCAAACAGTTAGATAAGAAATAAAGGTATAAGAAAATGGGATAACGATAATCAAATGCTTACTTTTGAACTATCAGAGATATACGAACAAAGCTGCTGCTATTTTGAAGCCCTAAATCAGCCTTGATCAGCTTGATAAACCATAACCAATTGTCAGAATTCTTAGCTTGTACGACAGCCCAAGCAATCGGTTAAATCTGATTGTTTGCAGTAAGCAGTATACCTTTTGTTGCAACCTTCAAGCAATTCCGAAAATCTTCTTTGTAATGGGCTCTAGCATCAGATGAGGCCCATCTTGTTCCTAAGAGGAATTGTTGGCTGAAGACGTACAAATCCCATGTTTTGATAGGATTAATAAACGTACATAATACACGTAAACCCTAATGGGATTAGGAAAATAATATTTTTCTATAAAAGATTTGAGACTGGTGGAGAAATTGAGAAAGAAACAAAAGAGGGTTTCTGCGTGAGAGTTCCCCTAACACCCTAAGATCACACAATGAATTAAAAAAAGAGTCGATAACGTTTATGATGCTTCCAAATGATTGGGTATTAAACTGCCTAGCCTGCGTTTCGAGATTGTATTACCCGACACTCTCCTTCATTTTCAAGAGATTCCGCTCTCTCCTTTTTTTTTCAATGGAGCTTTACCAAACCCGAATCCTCTTAAGTGGCACAGAGAGTTGTCTCTATGTGTGCTTAGAACTCGCTAAACCCTATTACAGCCCACAATGTTTGTTCACTCTCTGCCGGAGACCAAATAGCTCCAAGAAAGTTTTGGTCCCAACAACATCTCCAAATTCTCCTTCTACGTATCAGTCGGACTTTGCAAAAGTTGGTTCTAATATCTATGCCATTGGCAGATTCATAAAAGATGATCATGCATCTTCTAGTGTCATGGTCATGGACTGTCGTTCTCACACATGGCATGAAGCCCAAGCATGCAGGTCGCACGTGTGAATCCTTCTGCATACGTCCTAGATGGAAAAATATATGTAATAGGAGGCCGCAAAAATCTTGATGCAACTAACTAGATACGAACACTCAAACTTGGGAGTTTGAGTTGTCAAATGCTAACTACACTTTGTATAAACTGGCAATGGAAGTGCTCATCAGCTTATTGTGTGAACGTGTTATATAACTGTCATTGGAAATTTTTGAGGGTTTGGAAAATTATGATAGTTTTGCTAGTTCTGATGTTAAACTGACGGATTCTGGTGGAAAGTTGGCAATTTTATGAATTGATAAAGTATATGTTATTTGGCAGAGATGTCAATATGGGCCTTAACCCGCGGGCCAAGCCCAAGTAGATCCACGACAGGATGGGTTTGGACACAATTTTACATGTTCATGAATTCCCGGGTTTAGCGGGTTTGACCCGTTGCAGAGCGTGGGTTTAATGGGCCAACTCGGTGCGGTTTAGCGGGTTTGCAGGTAAACCGCAGAAGACAAACTTTGATTCCCGGGTTTAGCGGGTTCCTTCGATTGCCTTTGAATCACACACCAAATGGAAACTCTGGTAATAATCCGGGCACCATATTCATCGATATAGGGCAGATCCGTTCTGGGTCTCCACAAACCAGACATGGTTAACTCTTGAATCTGATTGATAATCTCCAAATTGTTATCATGTCTTTTTGGATTTTGGTTTGCATTTCTTATTGTGGCATTTTAAGATAGTTGATTAAAGCACTAATCAGCAAAAGATTTCGAGTCTAGATTACAGGTGACATCCCTCACTGTTCATCTGGAATTTTGCAATTTTGGTCTGTGGCAGTTTCGATTTCCATTGCTTTATATGTTTTCTGACTTCATAAGGAATTACATACTTGGATTCTCTGAATTTTCTAAATTCTCTTTATTCCATCGCAGCTTAAGATTCTTTTGCTATTCAGTCCAAATTATCTTTCTACATAACTCATTTTGCTACTTCTGGAATTTTTTTATCTTGCTTGAAACTGTTTTTTTTTAAATTGAATGAATGGCCATTAAGCCAAGTAAGATTATTTTTAGTTGTCGTTATTAACTACATGTTTGATTCATCTCATTGCATTTTTCTTAGGGTCACAAGAAATGGATTATTGGTATCTCGTTGGAATCAGTCCACCTTAGTTCTCCATGCCGTCGATTTTCTAGCATAGAAAATTTTGTCTTCTTTTGTTGTTTGACGATAACTTCTCCTTTTGCTTTGTCTTCTTTTATTGTTTCTCCTGTTGTACTTTTTCAATGGGTATTTTAAGAATGTTTTTATTGGAGGTTTCGTAACTCTTTGCTTCTCCTCTAAAGTTCTGGTTTATAAAAAAAACGTTCCAAGATTTAGAGCAAGCATTCATGTACATGATTAGTAAAAAGACTTTGATTCTACTGAGTTGAAAGTCCTTTACAAACTTAATGAATGCTGTCCCTATCAATTGTTAATTTGCAGAGATGACAGCAGTGGATACTACATGCTGTTTTCTATCTGACGGGAAAGTTCAGATGATGGTCAAGCACATATTTACAGAAGCAGCTCATCAAGATCTCCTAGTCCAGCGGCGGAGGGAGCATGTTAGGAGGGGGTGCAATTGACTCAGGTGAAATTCAAATTTTTTTTATAAATATTTATAATTTTTATGTAAAAATTAGATATAATATTAATAATTTAGCTAAATGACCCCCGTAAAATTTGTTTAGAATACATTATAAACTAAAATTGACCCCTGTAAATTTTTTTTCTCGCTCCGCCACTGTCCTAGTCTAAGACTTTGTCTAACACTCTTAGGGTCGATTATTATTTGCAGATCTAGTCAAATCAGGGTTGGTTCCCATAAAGTTCTTCAAAAACGATAGAAACATAAACAGATTTTGGGTTACAAAACAATTGAAACATGTTTTGGTTACAACCTGCGGGCTGACCCGCTAACCCGTTAAAATATGCAGGGCGGGTCTGGACACAGATTTTCAAACCGCATGCGATGGGCCGACCCGCGCGGTCCGGAGAGAAAATAAACCGCAACAGGTTGGGCCAGTTGGACACGGGCTGAACATCTGACATCTCTATTAATTGGTGCCATCACGAGACAAAAATTTGGTGTGGAGAAATTGCCGAAAAACAAACGCCAAGGGAAGATTTGGGGACGGTTTGACATTCTGTTTATAACCAGTGGGCCAAGAGCATGTCCTTGCAGCTGCACTTTGATAAGCCATGATCATGTGAACATTGAATCATTCACGGAATCAATTTAAAAATAAATAAATTCTTGTACTTTTTCCATTCCGTAGTCACAAGCGACATTTCGTTAACATATCATAATTCTTTCAACAACTGCAGCAGAGCCCTTTTAATTATTTTTCCGTATGATATCATGCATTGATTCAAAAACCTTGTGGAGTACTACAGCAATGATCAATTTCGATTAAGCAAACAACAAAACAAAACTAATCAGCTCTCTTCAACGCATGAACAATGAAGTACGTACATTCACAAGAGGCGGCCCACTAATATACCTTGTAAGATCAACTTTGATCTCCTTATTAATTAAATCCTTAATGGG